AGTCAAATCTATTAGATTAGAAGTAAACTACTTTAAGTGATTTTTTTTTTGAAAGTTTTTTATGATCTTTGTATACTTTGAATGATTTTGCCCCCATATCTGAAAACCATAAAGCATATGCGAATTAAATATAGCATACCATATATTTATGAGTATTTCGTAGCTAACAAAATGCCTGATATTTTTCAACATTCCGTACGGATGAGAAGGGAAGCATTTTTATCTAATATTTTTCCTAAATAATTTATTTGACTAACAAGATTTAACTTTCAGCCACTGATTCTGAAATCTAATTTTTTTGAATTTGTGCAGAGTATGGTTTAAATAGAGTATTAAAATAGTATTTGGAGTTATGTTTTTTTTTTTTTTGAGGTATGAGTTAGGTTGCTTATTTTGTTTTTGTAATGTTTGAATTGGTTGAAGAGTTCCAGTTAGAAGAGTTCCTGTTTACATTTGATGTACTTTTTTTGAAGTTTATTCTTTATATTTATGGATTTAATAATGCCAGCAGTTATCCATGGTTTGGATGAGGCTTTTTTTCTTTAATGGTTGCCAATACAAAAGGTGCATGATGGTCAAGTTAATGAGTTGTTAATGAGTTTTAAAAGTTTTGCCTTGTTAATGAGTTCTAAAAAAAAAAATGCACTTTTATTAAATTTTTTAAAGGAGCGACGTTATGTTTTATTTTGAATAGATTTATTGGTTTTACATGGCAAGGCAATAAATTTGATAAGATGATCAGCAAGAGATTCTGTTAGATTGCCTGATTTAAGATTTTGAGGGTAGAAGTTTACAAAAATATTATCAATAAGTGTTTTGGGTTGTATAGTGATTCTTGTTGGTATAGTGATAAGTGAATAGAGAAAGATATCAGTTATTGGTATCTTGTTTTTTTGGCAGACATGTTTCAGTTATAGCAATAATAATTGGTTTGCTTTTCATGAGAGAAATTTATGATCATCATGATGAGAGATATTTATGGTCATCAATGAAGTATAATGTAGTAAATTTTAGAATCTTTAATAATATTGTTCAATGCTGTTGTATCATAATATTTACAAGTCATATTATTACTTTTGAGACCATTAAGGTTTTTCAAGAGGTTTTTGAGTTTTGATGGTGCAATGTATACAGATTCACATGATGATTCTTTAGCTCTATTTAAAGATAGATTAAATTTATTATCTGTTAGTGATGAGAATGGTATAGTGTCATTGAGACACTTGCAACAGTTCTAAAAGCTTGTTTCATTCATCAAAGAGATGTAGTACTTTGTATCAAGTTTGTTGTACTTTATGTGAATCCATTTATTACACAAGTCACATTGTATGGCTTTATGGTTATCAGATATGGATTTGCAACAGATGCCACATAAAAACTTTAAAGCCATTTCACAACATATAGTTATAAGTATAATAGTGGGTTTGATGAAAGTATTACTAATAGAAGAAATAAGGAACGATTATACCCTATATACTTTATATATATGTATATATATTAATATGTACTAATATATATATATATATATATATATATATATATATATATATATATATATATATATATATATATATATATATATATACATATATATATATATACATATATATATATATATATATATATATATATATATATATATATATATATATATATATATATATATATATATATATATATATATATATATATATATATATATATATATATATATATAAAATCATGCTTTTTTATGTTTTGCTTTATTACAGTATAGCATTGTCATTTATAAACTCAACATGGCTAATATGTAAAATGTAAAATATTGTTATAATAAAAAGGCATAAAATAGTTTTATTTTTTATTCTCAAAATATGGCGATGTGTATAGAAATTCATATCAAGAAAAATAAATAATAAGTATTAATGAAATTATTTATCATAAAAATTGAGAGTTTCATATCAGTAGGTATGTGACATGATATTTTAAAATTAATTAAATATTAGAATGTTATATATCATTGAAAGAGCTTCAATTTAATATTTGAAAAAATTATTAAAATCGAACAATTCCACAAAATATTATGGCGTTTTAGGTAGCAATTTTTTGATATATGGATTTGTTGAAGAAACTGTTGTCAAAATTTTACTAACTAAAGCTAGTATAACTAATCAATTTTTATCAAAATGCTTATAACTTGGTATCAAAAGATAGGTGCAAGAATAACTTACAAACTTAAATTGGTCTTTAACCACTTGCTTTATTTGGGGGTCCCTACTGCTAATAAATGGGAATTTTATGAATTTTATGCATTTGGGTGGCGGTGAAAGTTTAATGCACCCTATTAATAAAACAATTCAATTTATAATTTGGTTAAATAATTTGGTTTTTATTAAAATTAAAATTATATTTTTATTACACATACATCAACTCGAGGAAAGAGGTGTGCTTCTCCTCCTCTGACCTAAAAAACATAATAAAGTTAGATTTGAACAAAAGAATAAAAATGCAATAATTTTATGATAGGTTTTGATATATTTATAATTGATTTTAATACACACATTTTACTACATTACATGACCAGACTTTTTTTTTTAATACAAACATGTTTTTGAATAATATTTTACTTGAATTGTTTTGGCTTTTAGTTAATGATTAAATAATAAGTTCTAATAATAAAACTAAATAGTTTAAATAGTCACTAAGTAGTCATTATTAACAATAGACATGACATGAACATAATCTAGAAGACTAATGAGACAACCTGTTTATTAATTTCTTTTTTGTAAAACTCAGCTTTCCTGTTGACTATGCCTAGTTTTACAATTTCTTTTTTTTTAAATCTTTTAAACATTTTTTGCCATTAAAAACTACACTTAGAACTTGATTTAAGCAAGTTCAAAAAAGATTTGAGCAAAAAAAAGTATATATCCGTTCATTCATCATTCTTGTTACTCAGAAATATAAAACAAAATAAACCACATAAAATTTAAAATATTGTGAATTATTTTTGTTTTTAATTATTTTATTTGCATGTTTTATTAAAAATTTTAAACTTGAAAAATTTTAAAATGATCACACTAAATATGGTGTTAACTTGAAAAAAATGGAAGTTAACTTAAAAACTTTCATTTAAAAACTAATAAGTATAAAATGTAGTTTATGAATCTGTATAAAAAGTAAATAAGATAAAATGGCACCAGTTGCTTTTTTAAAGCTTACCAATAAATAAATATATCCGAAAAACAATAATTCAAGTAATCAGTGCAGGTTTGTTTTGACTTACAAAACAAACCTGGAGCACATATTTTTCAAGTTTAGAAAGTAATTTAAAGAAAAAATAGACATGAATAAAAATTAATACATTAGTCTTAATAAAATTACATTGTAATTTTATTAAGACTAATGTATAAATTACATGAATAAAAATTAATACTTAGTCTAACATTTTGTAAACATTAAAAAGATATAATAAAAAAAATCAATTCATTTAAACAGTTACATTGCTTTAAAAAAGGTTAAAAAAAAATTTTTCCTTTAAATTTTGTAGCCTAACAATTTAACTTTAATGTTCTCTAATCACTGACATCCTTACAAATGTTTTGATGATTGTTATATTATTTTTATATCAATAATAAAATGTAATAAATATTACTATGTAACATAGTAAATTTTTTAACATTGTTAAAAAATTTAAAATAAAGATATAAAATAATATTTATATATTAACATTTTAAACAAATATATACATGAAAAAAATAATTGCACATTCAATAAATATTATTTACAACATGTTAGCCCTAAAAAGGTTGTTAATACATATTTGAATAGAATAAAGATATAGAAAGAGTTATTAAAAAAAATAGAAATAAATAAAATAGTAAACAATACACACAAATACACAAACAATACACAAATAAAATAATAAACAATAAAAAACACTTTTAGAACTTTTTACATAGTTTGGAGTTAACATTTTTATAAGAATCTATATTATACTTTTTTTTTATAAGTTTAAATTTAGAGATAAGCTTAAGTATATAAGCATACTTAAGTTTATTAATTATAAGCAAAAGGTTTTAAGAGGCTCATAAATATGCTTAAACTTTAGCATATTTCTTATTAGATATGCAGCATAAAAATACTTAATTATATCACCTGGCATAACTAAATATGAACCAGTAATGAAAAAACAAAGAATAATGAAATAAACAAATTCCTATTTGCTATAAATAAAGTCTTAGGTAATTCTTCAGTTAAGCGACGTAAAATAAAATTATTTGTTTACTTTTTTTGTGCTTGTCACAATTATGTCTGAAACGACTCTTTAAATCATATTATTATGTCTGAAACTAATATTTAAATCATATTATTAATATGATTTAAATATTATTTTTTTATAACTGTTTAAAGTGATTAAAAATTGTGAAATTTGTGTTTTTAGTTTTAATTTTATAATTATTATGTTGAGTAATAACAATTAATAAAAGTATAAAGTAAAAGCATTAAATATATCCTTCTTGCACATTACATTACACAAGGCAACTTAACTCATTATATTATAACTACTTTAAATTATAACTTAAGCTGAAAACTGCATAACAATAACTTAAGCTATTTTAAACCCCACCAAACAAGATTATTATATGAATATATGAATTATTATGTTAAAAAAATAGAAATTACAAACTAGTGTTCTAAAAAAAAAATTACAAAATTTTTGTAATTAGTTTTTTTTTTTTGCCCTAATTCAAGCCCTGTATATAGAGCACATTTAAGGTTTTGGAACTCACTCTTTAAATAATGAGTATAATTGGGACCACCCTTATGTATGTATGTATTTTTTTATTTTTTATGCCTATCTAGTATGTGTGATGTTTATATACGCAAATGTTAATATTAATAATTTAATTCTATTATTGATATTAATAATTTAATTCTATTATTTATATTTTTTGTATAATAGTTTTGATTAAGTTTATTACAAATTTTAATTAAAATATTTATTAAAAATTTTTTAGGAGGAAATTTTAAAATGGGAGAAGATTCATCGTTTGATCCTGAATACTTGTTTGCAAGCTTTGGAGCAGCACCAAAAAATGGAACAGAAAAGTCTAAAAATTTAGCAAACATTTCTCCAATAAACCATTCAAATATAGATATAGAGCAAAATAATTATATAAAAGAACTCGAAGAACAAAATGCAAAATTAAAGTCAGTTATCAAAAGATTAGTTGGACCTCAATTGTTTAAACCTCATGAAAGTTCTAAAGATGGAAATTCAACAATTAATTTACTTGAAAAGTTAGAGGATGAAATTCAATCGAATCCATTTGCTATAGTAATATATTTAAACAATGACATATCGAATGTTCACAGAAAAGAAATTGATGATGTTATGCGCTGCCTAAGTGATAAGAAAGCAACACAAGATGTGCTAATGGCACATAAACTAAAAGCGCAGCATTCAGCTGTACCGTTGAAAGCATTTACTGCAAACTTCAAAGGGAAACGTATAAATCTTGGTGCAACAAAAGAAGTGGAAGAGCAGTATGTTATATGTGCATGTCAATATTATAAAGGTTTTATAATAGATAGAATGGGTGCACCACTTTTAGAAAGTAACCCTGGTGTTACTGAAATTTGGGATATACCTGTTTATCAACAAGTGTTTTTAAAAGCACTACCTATTGTTGAAGAACCTTTAAATGTTAGAGTAAAACAATTAAAACAGTGTTTTAACTGTGGAGGGGAACATCATCTTACAGCTTGTAGAGAACCAAAGGACAAGGATAGAATCAGCAAAAATCGGCTTGAATTTGCTAAATTCAATCCTGTAGCATCAAACCAAAAATTTGGAGGAGATGAGCCTGAAGAAAGGTTTAGACACTTTAAACCTGGCACTATTAGTGAAGCGTTACAAGAAGCATTAGGAATATCTTTAAAAACTCATTTACCACCTTATATTTACAAAATGAGACAGCTAGGTTATCCTCCTTCATGGTTAAAACCAATGGAAGAAAGTCTCAAAATTTACGGAATTGAAGGTTTTGCTATTGAAGAGCCAGGTGCTGAAGAAGGAGAAATAGCTACTGCAAAAATTCCTGAAATTATCATGTATCCTGGATTTAATGCACCTGTTCCTGAAGGTATATTTATATATATATATATATATATATATATATATATATATATATATATATATATATATATATATATATATATATATATATATATATATATTTTATATATATATATATATATATATATATATATATATATATATATATATATATATATATATGTATATGTATATATATATATATATATATATATATATATATATATATATATATATATATATATATAACATTATAAAAGTGAAATAAACAAAAAGTTTATCTTACCTCTATAAGTTTATCATTTTTTTAAACTTTTTATATATATATACATATATATAATAATTAGTATATATACAGTTAATTTCTCATAACTTCTGATGAATCTCCAAGGTACCAAGAAAAATGGTTTGACTTAATGAATGTTCGACTAAAGTGAACTCCTGTTAAATCAAACTTTGACTGATATGAGATATTAATTAAAGTTAAGGCGATTTTTCTTTATTCAATACTAAAGTATAAACATTAAGTTTACACCATTATACTTATGTTTCAATAAAAGAAATTATGGATTGTATTTATGCAGTACAGTCAACAAATTTTAAAGACAAATGAACTTTGTTTAGCCGAACCATTTTTTGTCCCATTTCAGTAATTTTCTTTGGATGACTCAAACCTTTTGTATAAGAATCAAAGATATTAATATATAATGAAATTTTTTTAGACATAATGTTATAACCAAATAATAAGGAAGTCAATTTAATTATATATATATATATATATATATATATATATATATATATATATATATATATATATATATATATATATATATATATATATATATATATTTGGAATTTTAGGGGTGGGGGACGCAAGTTTTATATATATATTATACGTTTTATATAGTATGTATATATATATTTGGAATTTAAGGGGTGGGGGACACAAGTTTTATAGTATATATATATATATATATATATATATATATATATATATATATATATATATATATATATATATATATATATATATATATATATATATATATATATATATATTGAAAATGCGTTTAAAATAGTTTTATTGTAAACTCTATTTTTTTTTTTTTTTGCTTAACTTATTTTAGAATACTTTCATTTTAATGTTAGTAAAAATTCTTTCATAAATAATTTTTTTTTTTTAATTTTTGTTTCAAGTTCACGCCTCCTTTCTTACCAATATCCCCAGAGCTCGCTTCCTTACCAATATCCCCAGAGCTTGCTTTATAAGCAAGCAATCATTTTATTGAAAGTGTTATTATAAGCTCTTACTTTATTGCTATCTTAATATAAAAAGAACTGAAGTTCTTGCTTTGTGTTGAGATAGCAATGAGGTAAGAACTTCATGAATCACTGCTTCATGAAGTTCTTGTTTTATTGCTGTATTGATAAAAAATATTTATTGTATTATTTTAATAATAATATAATAATTGCTGTACTTAACTAAGAAATTTTTTTCTTTAAACTGTAGGAGAGACCAATAGTGAAACAAAAATAAAAATAAAATGTTGCATTTTACCCTATGTTGTGTTGTTAATAAAACATCCTGGTTAGGTTCTTCTTTAGTAACACGTAGTTTGGACATATCAGATTTATCACTATTGCATGGATTGATTTTCTCATTATTGATATGATCATACCGCTGTCTTCATTATTCATAAGTATACTAGGCTCATTTAGGCGTTTGTTTATTTGGTCATAGTGTGCTAATGTACCCGAAGAGTTATTCCTTAATATGATCACAGTGTTTAGACCTGCCTGAGAGATGAATGAAGCAGGTTCAGGTTTGGAATCTGGTCTTTGGCGGTACCATAACGGTGTTCCACTTTCGAAACTCATGGTAAAAGGGGATATCAACTGGCTTCCCATCATCTCGGAAGGACATGAGGTATTGTTCTGTAACTTAAAAGCATTCTGCTTAAATATCCACATAATAAACCTTTGTCCGGTGAATAAGCTCTTAAACCCATCTTGACTGTCTCTACCATTCTTTCAGCTGCTCCGTTAGATTGAGGATGGTAAGGTGGAGTCTTATAAGGCACGCAACCTATTTTCTTTAGCCACTGGTTTAAGGTGGTATCATGAAATTCCGCATCATTGTCGGATACTAAAAAAACTCCATTTCTTGAAAAAACACTTTGTAGTACTGCCTTTAGAGTGGTCGCTTCACGGTTATTTACCTTAATAACTTCCGGCCATCCAGAAAAAGAATCTACTAAAATCAAAAACAGTCCGATACCCTGTACATGTGCATGATCTATATGTACTCTACACCAAGGTTTAATTTCACTTGGCCATGTATGTAATGTCCTTTCCTTCTTCACTTTTATTTTGGCACATTTTTCACAGTTTTTCACATATTCTTCAACATCTTGACAGTAGCCAGGCCACCAGGCTTCCAATTTTAATCTACATCGCGTTTGCATTATGCCACAATGTATATCATCATGGATCGATTTGATGAAGATCTTTCTCATTGTCTTAGGAGGTACAATGAGGTCACCATTACACACAATTCCTTTTCCAATAGTCAGTTTATTCCTAATAGATTTATAGGGTCTTTCTGTTACCGAGCATCTGCTCCAATTATTCTTCCTAATTCTGGTTTTGATATCCATCAATACCCTATCATTTTCTGTTTCTTTTATTATTTGCTCAAGGTTCACTATATCTGACTCGACTAAGTGTATAAATGTTTCTGGGTCTTTCTCTTCATCTTGTGGTAGAAAGGACAATCTCGATAATGCGTCAGCATGAGGAATGTTTTCTCCCTTCTTGTAGCTTATTTCGTAGTCAAATGCCATCATTTGTATGGCCCATCTTAAAATTCTAGCGGGTGTGAATTTGGGCAATTCTTTGTTACTATCAAATATAAGTTCTAATGGCCTGTGATCTGATATTAATTTGAATTTTCTACCCAACAGAAAATGCCTAGTTCTGTGAGCAGACCATACAATAGCTAACGCTTCTCTCTCAATATTTGAATATCTTGTCTCAGCTTCTGATAAAGTTCGTGAGAGATACAATACCGGATGGCCATTCTGTGAAAGTATTCCAGATATAGCTTTCTCACTAGCATCTGTTGTTAACTCTAGATCTTGGTTGATGTCATAAACCTTTACTACAGGTTCTTCACAAAGGTTTCTTTTTAGCAATTCAAATGCCTGTTGATACTCTTTCCTCCATTCGAATGTAACTCCTTTCTTTCTTAAATTGTTTAAAGGTAAAAAATTTTCAGCATACTTATCATTGGTCGTCCATAAAAGTTTATTAATCCTATAAATGACTCGAGTTCCTTTTTATCATTAGGAGGACTTATTCCAAGTGTTTTGCTGACTAAATTACGATCTGGGGTAACTCCTTTTTCTGACAGTTCATATCCTAAAAATGAAAGACTTTTTGTTTCATTCACTTACTTTCGTTTATTTATGCTCATTCCCGATTCCTTCAATTTGCTCAATATTTTATTTAAATTCGATATGAGTTCTACAGCATTTTTAGCACCGACACATATATCATCTTGAAATATAATCATATTGGGAATAATATCGCCAACAACAGATTCTATCGCTCTTTGAAATATTGCACTTGCAGTCTTTATTCCGAAAGGTAAACAGGTCTATCTTAATAATCCAATAGGGGTATTAACTGTTGTTATTTCTTGTACCTCTTTGTCCATCTCAATTTGATGATAAGCTCCCTTGAGATCAATTTTAGCAAAATATTTCATCCCTGCCATTTTATGAAATACGGTCTCAATCTTTGGATAGGATATGAGTTTGAGCATATTTTAATAGGAAGAGGTCGAGATTCAAAATAAGTTGGTTGTATGCCGTTTTTTAACAGAATATTTGCTTTGTAATTAATTAAACGCCCATGAACAAGAGGTTCTATACTATTAACTAATTTTGTGGCGTTGATATTTAATACATCCATACCAATTAGACCATGATTTTTTGTACAGTCTGCAACAATAATTCGTACGATATTCATTTTTGATTCGGTTTCCAAAGTTGCCTCAAATTCGCCTAGGACTTTTATAACTGTACCATCAAACTGTTTCAGGCGAAGGTAGCATTTTTGTAATTTCGGTTTAGATATTAGTTCTCAAAAATTTTTTGGAATAATTGTGACTTGACTACCGGTGTCAACTTGCATTTTAGGTCTATGCTGTTTTTGATGTTGTTTTGTATACTAAAACAGGATATTTGCTCCAGTTACCTGATAAAATCAATACATGCTCCTAGTTTAGGTGATTCTCCACTCTGTATCATTTCTAGAGCTTTAACTCTCTGATCAGAAGATTGGAGACCATCAATCAATCTCATTTGAATCAAATCATCTTCCGCACTTTGGCCATCTCTTCCCAATTTTTCGAAGTTGCAAAAGCGTGAAGTTTCGCGTAATCTTTGTGCATATGATACGATGTTTTCATTGTTTTGCTGTTTTAATGCTAAAAATCGAACTTTTTCAGCAATAATAAGTCGTTTTTGAAGCCTCAAATGGGACATAACAACAGTTTTAATATCATCGAACATCATATTTTCTAATTCTTCTGGATATACCATAAGAGAAATCTTTTTAACTGCTTCAATCCCTGCTTTTGCCATAAATAAATCTGTTATCTTGTAGCTACCATTTATCTCATCTTTTAATTTCTTTGAACATGTGGAAGCTGAAAAGCTTCTAATCCAAGCTTCTGCATTGTCTGGGTCATCTAAAGTCAAATCGGATCCTACACGCAGCGCCATTGTTGTGTCGTTAATAAAACACTGTACTATACTTAAATATATATATTCTTATAAGTAAGCCATCTTTATTATACATTTTGTTATAGCCACGTATGTTTATATATATAAAAACATTGTTCCTATTTGTCTGCATATGACTATGGTTCACAGCTTAACACCCCACACAGGGGCAAGTTACAACAGTGAATGGAGTAGTTAGAACACAATACTTTAAAAGTATAAACCTCGCCGAGTCTAT